CTGCTGGGGAAGAAGCTGGATTTTTTGAGAAGAGGGGACCATGGGAATGTGCTTAGGTTCAGACCTGAGGTTGGGGTTGTGCAGAGGTTGTGGTTAGATTGGTATTTAGTTTGGAAACATCAGTATTATGAATTTCTTTTTTTTTTTTTTTCTTGTTAATCACTCATATTTAAAGATTTCAGGTAAACATTTGTCTGAGCTTAGTGGAATTGCTTTGATTTATGTGGGTGTAAGGCATAATAGATTTATGTCCATAACGTGCATGCTGTCTCAATTTTTTACAGACTTATGCAAAATCATAATGAAAACACCTTGAGAATGGAGGTTATTTGTACTGATTTGAACACAGATATTTCCACATGGGAAGTGAGGTATTGTTCCTAACTTGCAATATAAAAATACTTGAAATAACTGTTTCTGGGACTTTAGTATTATCTGTTGAATTCATATCCACCCCTGTCATCTGGCAGACTACTAAAACAAGATTCTGCTCAAAATGATGGAAGTGACAGTCATACAATGCATTTCATTCCTGCTGAGCCCTGTTAGGAAGGTAGTCTGGGGAGATTTGGATCTCACTTCAGTCATTCAAAGGCATTCCTTTGGAAGCGATTTGCAGAATATGAAATTGTGCCCATAAATCCCTCGCTCCCCCCTGTAAATAGGGTAGAATTTCTGTTGCCACCGTACTGTGTTGAGGAAGTAGCTTCCCCCCACCCCCCCCCCACCCTTTTGCAAAGCCCAGGAATTGTGGTGAATTCCCTCTGCCACTGGCCATGCTTCATTCCTCTGCAGTGTGGTTACGTAGAAATGCTTTTGTGTTCTGTCAGTGTTTGATCCCTTCCAAGTGGCAGTGAATCGAAGAAATCATATGTATGGACACCCAAACTCTGCCCTTAGCTACACTTGTGAAAACCTGTGGCATTATACGGTTGGCTTGGAAAGGCTTAAGAAATCCCATGAGATCCACTCCGCTGAAAGTCGCTCTGTAAATGTTAGACAGGGCTGTTGTTTTCGTTCTAGTACATTTTACTTTAAAGCTGCACCTGAGCTGCAGTCGATGATACTGTTTCATAACATTGAGAAAGAGGGACAGATCTGGAGTATGAGATGTGCCATGCTGTCAGTGGAGTTTGTCACTGAAATTGTCATAGCTGGGGGCCACGGCAGTGTCTGTGCTGCAAGAAAAATATGCTCAATGGGGTTCTGATTCCTGGCACGTTCAAGCCACTGGTCACCATGCAACCATCCTCCTCAACAGCCTCATCTCCTCTGGGAAAGAACCAGGGCTATCTGCTAGCAGGGCTGGCAGCAGTGGTGGCCAGCACCCCTGGGGTATCTTGGTGAACCCTGACCTTGCACAAGAGTGAGCTCCAGGCAGCAGAGGATGTTTCTTTTGGGCCAAGAAAATTGTGTTTAAGTCTGACACATTCCTATCATCATCCAGTATGGAGGAAGCACACGTCTTCAGGCACAGGGGAAGGTCTGGGTACTGGCCTGTGGTCGTGTAGCTGAGTGCCCTGTGACTGTGAAACAGAGTGTAAAGGAGATGTACATTGGTGTGTGGATGGGCCCAAATGATCCTTTTGTTTCAATTCTAGTGCAGAACCACAGGAAATAATGTTCAGACAGATACTGTACTGACACAGCATTTTTGACTCATGCTGATCTCTGCCAGTGTGGAGGATACTTCATGCAGCTGGTCCACAAATAACCAAAGAGCTTGAATAGTTGTAAAATGTGCCTTTTTAAAAGTGTTGCAGTGACCTGAGCAGATTGAAGTTGCAGTCAAAAAAATCCCTGCCCTGAGTCATTTACTTTAATTCTTGCTTTCTGTATCTTGGGACCCTTAGGAGACAAATAAACAAATTATGAGATGTGAGGAAGGTAAGCAGAAGATACAATGACAGGTGTTATACACACCTCCAGGACTGTCATTCGGTATTTTTATCTCCTTTTAAATTTTGGAAAATTTCCAAGAAGAAGAGTTCTATGTATTTTTCTTCCAGACTGAATGGAAATTTTGCCATTGGTTAATATAGAAAGGAAGTTCAGAAATATCAGAATGACGTGTGAATTATTTATGTATCCAATTTGCTACTGTGAATGGAGGAACGAGGATCTTAAATGCTGTTAATTACTGTGGATTTTATTTCACTGACTATGGTTGTAGCTGCAGGCCACGTAGCCTCCAGAGGTGACTTGGGTGCCATGCAGTTTAAGGACACTTCTGGAAGGGAGGAGGGAATGTGCAAAGTGTTCATTGCTGGGTAGTCAGGTGACATCTGCATGTTTTATCATGTTAGCAGAGAAAAGTGATGTTTTTTCCTTCAAGTCCTGAAGGATTAACAGCTTTATTTATATTTCTTCTGTTATGTCCAGAAGACAAAAAATAATGGAAAAAAGTTACAATTCTGTAGTACAGCATCTTCACATTTTTATTCTGTGCTTCCTGTAATCAAGGGATTTCCTAGCAAGAATAGAAACATCTGCAGTAGCAGCTCCTATTTATGTTAATCTTTTCCAATCAGCATGCAGCCTGAAATAATTACAATAAATGCACTGGCTGCTCCAAACACTCACAACTTCCATTTATTTCAGGCTTCTTCGCTTTGCAAGTCTGAGAACATAATCCTTCATTCTGCTCTGCTTCATCTCCTTTGCATGAATTTATCCAACAGTATCTTTTGTGAGCTTCATTAACAATGGTCATGCCATGATAAATTACATAAATTGAGAAGTTTTAATTAACTAAGTTAACAAAACAGCCCCACAAAGCATAATAAATTTAATTAGGTAACGTTTTCCTCTAATAAGTTTGCACATGAGGTGTGTAATGAAGTAGGCCAGAGTAAAATCTGTAACCCGAAGGTTTTTAGATTTCGTAGCTGCAGAAAATGTTTCTTTTTCAAAAATGTATTTTTATAAGATCATGTGCTAAACATACCTTGTTGTGCAAAGGATTATGCAAACTTGGCAGAAAAACAATAGTTACTGACAAAGACATGACTAAGAGTATGTTTGAACAGAAGAAGACATCTTCCAGTCTTTCCTCCTCTGCTTCTGCTAGAACTGCTCTTTAGGTCAGGGTCATTTTCTCCAGTTTGGCAGTGGGGCTTTGGCTCTGGTTGGTTGTTTTTTTTGGGGTTTTTTTTGGTTTTTTGTTTTTGTTTTTGTTTTTTTTTTGTTGTTGTTTCTGAGCAGAATTTGATGGGTGTTTTGGTCATATTGGCTAATGTATGTGGTGTAAAGAGCACATTCAGAGTAGAGTTTCCTTGCTGGTGCTGTGTGTGTTTAGCTGGGCTACTTGCCCAGGTATGTGGGAAGGAAAAGTAAGATCAGCTTTGGCTCATGTATGGAGTGCTGTAGAACGACTTCTCAGGTGTCCTCTGCAGCTAACAGCATCTGTCTTTGCTTTTTCTTGCCTAAACTTGCATCCAAAAATATTAAGATTGTTATCCCCTGCCGCCTACCCTCTTACACAGCCTAGCTAGGCTGCTTTTGCTTGAACAGTGCTCCCATCTAAGGAATTTGGTCCAAAAATAAAAACTTTGCTTTCCCTTTATGTCCAGGACAGTATGTCCCTTTATGTTTGTGACAGTAAATGGTACTCTTGATTTTTGATCGTGAGACCACAAAGCAATTAAACAAAAAACAGTGGGATAGGACACAGAAAGGAACTCTTTATATTATGAATATTGGTTTGTGTTTTTCCCAGACTCTCTGCAGTCACAGAGATCAGTGCAAAGGGAGTATGCGGGTACATCACATTTACTGTTTTGGTTTGGTGATGCATGAAGTCAGAGTAAGGTTTTGTAATTGTCTTTCACAAGTGCAAATGAGTGTGTATTGAAGGTTGTAAAAAATAGTTACTAGTATTTATTATCTCAGTGAAGTGTCCTTTTTATATTTTAAGTTAGGACTGATTTAGAGAGACAAGTTTGATGTCAGCAACATCAGTCTACAGTTTGGAGTAGTTTCTGGAGCCCACTCATGTTGTTTGCCATCAAACTCTGAAACCAGGGAATGGGACTTTTGGACATTCTGTGAAAAATACATAGCACTATGTAATCTGATTTGTGTGTGCATATAATTATTCTGCTATCAGTAAGAGATATGTAGTATTTAACCAGGTGAGGTCTGTTGCAAAGATGGAATGGCAACTTACCTGAGCTGGTGAATAACTCCTAACCAGAAAGGTCACAAAATTGTGAGAGGTAGATCTCCTTCAGTTTTCTGACTCACAGACTACAGTTAATTGTCCATCAGAAGACATTATAAAGCATTTCAGCATGTGTATATATCCTATCTCTCTCTGTTCCTGCCTTTTTATAATCAAGAGTGAAGCAGCTGTAATTCTAGAGAAGGTAGGAAGGCATAAAGTTTATGTAGCAGAAGCACATCTATTTTACAGAAAATGCCCCACTTAAATGTCCCACTTTAAATTTTAGGGTTCTACCGGAACAGTTTGAACAGTTGCCAGACACACTCCTGAGCTTGTACAGTATTGCACAGAAATCCTGACTGTACTCCTTTGCAGGAGTACAAGATAACCTGTAGCACGCATGGAGTCTGGTGGTAAAGAGGGACACACAGGTATGGAGAGCAAAACAAAGTGAAAGGAAAGAGTTGATAGGAACAAAAAATAGGGGGAGGAGAATTAATGCACAAAAGCAGAGGAGGGAAATTAGCGAAGGAAATAATAGCAATTAAAATACAAAGTGTTGGCTGAGAAAAGCAGCTCACCAGCAGTCGCTCGCTAGGGTGAGAACATTGTATGTTCAAAAAGAGATTCAAGCAGACCTTCCCCAGAGATTTGTGAATCTTCCAGGTGAAGGACCTTGAGATAAGCAAGAAGACACTTTGCCTCCTAAAGTGTTACAAGATAGGTAGTTGAGGCAGATAAATTTTCCAATAGTATCTGGAAAAGAAGATATTAGAAATTAAGGTCTTGATGACAGGAGTATGTCAAATTAATGCATGATGTATTTTTGGAATTATACAATGTGTCATAAGCCAATTTTGTTCCAGGGGAAATGTGACATCATCTCCCTTGTCAGTGAGGTTTCCAAAAGGCTGAAAAGCATGGAAAATGGAAAGCAAAAAGTGAAGTTGCCAAGTGGAGAAGAAAAGCATCGCCTGTGGTATTTAAATTGTATAAACTGATGTTGATGTATCCTGCTCCTCAGCCCCTTCTGATAGCTCTGTCTGTTTTGGCTGCTACACCTGTTTTCCATTTTCAGCCTGTTTCAGGACAGTAAATTTTACCTTGACCTCTGAAGCCAGTCATATCCTTTTACATAGCAGTGACTTCCCATGAAGCAGAAACATTAATCCGTACTGTTACCATGAAATACATGCTGTGCTTCGCAGCAGATCTGTTTCTTAACTCACAAAAATGTGTGCAAGAATATTTTGCTGGGCTGCTGAAAACATTTGTGCTGTAGTTTTACATACTGTATTCTTGTTTCTTCTGCTTTCAGGATCTGGACTGTTTAGAAAGGAAATGTAGAGTTAACATCTGCAATCTGAAGAGGTCTTCCATTTCATAAAAATATTGTTTCTGGCATTCATGTTGGGAAAGAGGAGCCATCCTTTCCAAGACTTTCAGTGTAGGTATAAAAATGTTCAAAGAGCTGACAGTTAGTAATTATTATTCATTGGTGCTACTTTGCTTCTAGTACAGTGAACATATTTTTGAAGAAGAATTAAATCCAAGTCTCTCCAGGGGCTGTTGGTATTTTGCGAATGCTAAATTAAAGCGTGCCATGTGCTGTGCACTAGAGGTGGTCAGTGGTGGCTTGACAGAACTTAATTGTGTGTGTGGCAGGGGTGCTCTGAGTCACTGCATGGTAGGTGTGATGCAGCTGCAGTCTGGTGGGAAGTCACAGCCCCTTGTGTTTTCATGAGCAGGAAGAAGGGAAGAAGACGTTCCCCAGCTGCTTTCCATCCTGCCTGCAGGTTAGGTGGTCCAGCTCCTGGAATGGTTATCGTGCGTAGCCAGTTTTTGTTCCTCCTGCTCGTCACTTATCCCATTGCTTTTTCAACTCCCAAGCTGTAAATACTTAAAATGAGAAATATGCTAATTAGAAGCCATGAAATAGAGATGGAAGCTAAGCTTCCTTAAAATATCAGTAAGTGAAGAAGCAGGTCCAGATTGAAGAAGGGGTGTAGTCTTTATAATCTTCAAAATTATCATTTTATTAAGCTGTTGACTCATGTGTTTGGAGATATCAATATAAAAATATAGTAGTATTCCATCATTGGGACATGCTAGTATATGTTGGACATTTTTAAATAGCACTGCCCTGTTTTGAGCACTCATCCTTTTAATACATTTTTGGTATAACTTTCCTTGATGAGGTCCTTACCCTTCTCAGCTAGACACTTGAAGCGTGTTAACCATGCCCAGATGATGCAGTCAGTGCACAACGGGATGTTGCAGCATGGCTGGGCTGAAGTGCTAGTGGGAAGAGAACCACCACAATTTAAACTTGTGAATGGTGCATCTGAGCCAGCAGAGTGTGGGGAAGTTTTCCTGAGGAGCTGAGCTGAAGGCCTTATTCCCAGGCTCTTCTTCTTCCCACTCTCTTTTCCTTCTCTCAGTGAGGGCTAAACTAGCTCAGGCAGTCATGCACTGGATGTGGATAAGGTTCCTTGGAGGTGGTAGATATGATCTTTGTAGTATGAAGTAACTAAAGGGAAATTAATGGGATGCAATGCTCAGGTACAGGTGCAGGTGAAAGATTTGGGAACAAATCCTCCTGATTTGTATTGCACCCACAGTGGTCCTTGGTGCTGCGTTGGAGCAGGGAAGGAGAGGGAGCTGTGGCTGCAGCTCAGTGCAGGTGCTGTGGCTAGTTAGGTGGAGACAGAGCTGAAGAGTTCAGGAGGAGAGCAAAATATTTGAAGATTCATAGGGCTAGTGTGATATTTGGGAATTGCTGTGTGGAATGGTGGCATTTTGTTAATTTATTTTGTAATCTGTGATGACAGTAAGCTGAATATTGAACAGTTTAAATCTAAGCAACTGTCATTTCATGCTTTGGTGAAGAAGGAGTGGGTGAGTGAAATAGTAGGGGTAAATTGTTAATAGGAGTGAAACCAATATGTGCAGCTTTCTCTGAACCAGCCCACCTATTTTTTTTTTTTTTTTTTTTTTTTTTTTTTTTTTTTTTTTTTTTTTTTTTTTTTTTTTTTTTTTTTTTTTTGTGTGTGTGTAATATTGAGCAGCTGGGGCTGTGCTATCTCAGCTTGCCATCACTAATCAGGGTATAGATCTCTGGGGACATGCTTTACTCTCAGTTGCTGCGGTAAAAATCTAAGCTTGTTACCTAGATCACGTGTACATAGACCAGCAAAACCACATAAACAGATTTTGAGCCTTTTTTGTCAGTATGGTTTATGAGACATACTCTCATTTTTTGATTGCGCTTTGTTTAGTCAAAGAAGAAACCTCTTGTACTCAAAATGAGAGAGCATTTGCACTATTGCCTTTTTTTCTTCTTGTGAAAAATTGCACTGCTTTCAGTAGAACTAAAATTAATAGAGTTCACTGGAAATTAATTATTTACTTTGTTTAAAAATGACATTTTCATAGTCCATAGTCTATATGCCTGCCTGTAAGAACACAGGACACAAAGTTGACCAACTTAGTTACAGAAGTGTTTGCTGCTGTAATTGAATTTCTTCAGCTGTTTCAAGCATTTTTCAGGGAGATTTTCCCCCTTCCTTGAATTCCATGGAGTATTTATCTTAAGTATCCCACTGGTGACCCTATATACAGTTTTTAATGCTGTGATAGGTAGGTCTGTTTAGGAGTTGCTCTCTCCAGAGATATAATTTAGAACTGGTGTTTCATTCATTACTATGCTTACCTTGGTCTGAATCTACAATTTTTTCTGTTCCTTAACTTTCAGACTGATGACTCATTCCTTTGCTTCTTGGGATTGCTGCATGTGATCTTATCCCACTCTGAGATGAGCTTTGGAAGTCAGCTAATAAGAAATGTTTACAGAATTCAGCATAAATCACAATTCCACAGAGAAACATAAGGGGGAAAAAGGGGGAAAAAGTGATTCCCATAACTTGGAGATGAATCTATACCAAAGGGATAGATTCCATGTTTTCTTCTAGGTAGCAAGTGACAGACCAGAGAAGATGCCTCATTGCACCAAGAGAGGTTTAGATTGGATGTTAGGAGAATGTTCTTCACTGAAGTGGTGTTGAAGGCATTGGAACAAGCTGCCAGGAAAGTGGTGGAATCACCATCCCTGGAAGCGTTCAGAAGGCATGTAGATATGGCACTTGTGGACATGCTTTAGTTATGGACATGGATGTGGGCAGGTTAATGGTTGGACTTGATGATCTGAGAGGTCTTTTCCAGCTTCAATGCGTCTGTGATTTTAAACCATTTTAATTATTTGTCTGTTTTATATGACTCCCTTGAGTCTCGGTATATGCAGGAAGATGCTATCTGCCCCTTTCTAACCTTCATGAGAAGGTGTGTAGAAGCAGATTGGTGCTTCCATTCAGGAATGAGGTGTGGGAAAACCACCTGTGGGAATCTATGTGAATAAAGAAATCCTAGTGGGATGTCCATTGTCTTTGCAGGCGTTTTCTTTAGAAGAGCCGCTCCCTGCATGCCGTGTCCCCGCATGACTTAGCAGCATCCTGTAGGTGTGAATGCCTGTCTCTGCAGAGCAGGGTATGCAAAAGATGAGGGGATGGGTGGTGGAGGTAGACATGGTGACTAACTCTTTATTCCTGGAAGTGCACCCTCTGTGTGGAGGACGGCATTAAGTATGTCCCAGATAGGCTTCTCACACTGCGTCATTGCTGGGGATTAAGCTGCTTTCCCAAAGGATTCTGTACTTGGCAGAAAACTGCAGGAAATGCTAGTGTGCCTCCAGACTTAAACATATCAGCACTTGCATAATAGGCTTATTCTTTATTATCCACCTTTTTTTTTTTTTTTTTTTTCTGTTCTGTGGCACGGGCTTCAGATACTGCACATGATGATTTTGCTCCTGCTGCCATGTGGTCCTACCACATGGTGAAGGAAGGATGTTCAGACTTGAATTTTTTAATCTCCCTGAATCTGACAGTTTTACATTGCCGCTTCACTTCATTTTCTTCCTAGTGTCTCTTCTGGTAGTTCTATTTTTATTTTTAAAAAATCAAACATTAAGGTAGTGATTGTTACCACAAAACTGGTTGTTGTTTCCAACTAAAAGATAAGTAATGAACTGCAACTGAAAGAATTATCAGGGTTTAATTTTGCCTTTTTTGGGGAGGTGGAGGGAATTTGCTTACATCAATCTCTCTGTTTTGCTAGGTCTGTGAAGACCACAAGACTGCACTTCTTTAGGCGATTCTAACTTGTTGATGCTGATTTTGAATGATAAGAGGAAATTTGCAATAAAGACTTGTCATGAAATTTGAGGAGTGAGTACCTTTATGCTCAAGGTAAATGAATAATCTCTATCTGTACTTAGGTACAGGTCTCAGGCAGCCCTCTTGCTGATGGTATCCTTTAGAACTAACCTGGGTTATTGTACGTGCAGAGCACAAACTCTGAAATGATACCAGGCAATGTTTTTGTGGTTATCTGTTTGTACGGGGTGTCATGGTAGCTAAAGGCAGCATCGAGTTTACACTCAGCATGTTCAACTTATCTTCCAAATGCTGTGTTCCAAATAACCCTTTACTGCCAGCCACCTGGGACCTGGTAAATGTTTCTTGTGGCCATTTGGAGGGTCTGCATGACTACAGTTCACAAGATTTTTCTTCAAGCTAGCCAACCATGTTTGCACAAGTTATAGCTAGGTGGTAAGGGTCAAAACTGGGATTTCTCTAAAGATCTGTGTATTAAGTTCCTTCAGAGCACAGGAAAAATGTGAAAGAGGAGTGTGGACTAATTCTGTTTAACAGCTTGTGCAAAATATATGTAGGAGTGTAAAGAAGAAACTGTCACTACGGAATCTCAGAAGAAGTAAATGTAAGGAAAATGTTTAGAATTCAGGGAGGAAGAAGAAAATAATGTGCACAGATATAATGTGAAGCATCAAGTTCTTGTTGAAAAAGGAAAGATACTCAAAGGCCATTTGGGAAATTTGGATAGTTTTCAGTGGGCATATTCTGTTGTATCTTGCTACCAATTAACAAGTCTCTAAGTTTTTGGTCCATGTCATACTTTTGCCACATACCACTGCAGCTTGCTGACTAAGGCTAGTGAAATTTGTTTTTACTGAGGATGGATATCCTCATAGAACATGCATATAGAGGTTGGCTGATTTATTCTTTGTCTTTTGAGAGAGCTAAAATGTTCATTACAACCAACTTGTCAAATAGCAAAGAGCATTTCGTTGATAGTGTTATGTGAACACAAATTTTCTGTGTGATTTTATATAAAGCAAGCAGAAAAAAAGCACAGAAATTTAGCCCATGTATTTGGCTTCTATCAATATATAAAAATAATTGCTTAAATGAATGTTACTTCTGTTTGGTATTATAAGGGAAAATATGCTTGCACTTTATTTGTTCTCTTTGCCATACTGTTTAATCTTGCTTACTTTATGTAGCCATGCTTGAATATACCATATTAAATAGT